ATTTAACATATGTCAGCTACTGTGCCAGGCACTTTCACATTATCTCATTAATCCTCTCAACAGCCCTGTGAGGCAGAGGTTATTAGATCCACTTTATAGGGAAGTTATGGAGCTTGCCTAATTTTGCTAAAGGTAACTCTTGCTTTGGCTGCCAAATCCCAACTGCTTTCTGTAACACCCATGCTAGTAAAACTGGAGCATATCAGGGGATACTGGAAAGCACAGACACAAAATGGCACACCATCCTGGGATATTAATATTCCTGATGGCAGGTGTATTGGTTTGCTAGGACAGCCATAACAAATACCACAGACCAGGTGGCTTAAACAACAGAAATGCATTTCCTAACAGTCCCAGAGGCTAGAAGTTCAAGACCAAGGTGTTAGAAGTGTTTTTTTCTGCCTTCCTCTCTGTTTGGTGTGTCAATGGTCATCGTCTTCCTGTGTCTTCACATGGGTTTCCCTGTTTGTATGTGTCTGTGCCCTAATCTCTTCTTCTTAGAAGATGTCTAGTTCTATTTGATTAGCACTCACCACCAATGACCTTATTTAACCTTAATTATCTATTTCAAGGCCTTTCTCCAAGTATAATTACATTCTGAGGTACTGGATATTAGGACTTCTACATATGAATTTCAGGGGCACACAAATCCAGCCCATAACAGCACAAAATTCAAAACATTGTAGAAAGAAAGTAAAATGTGGTAGATAACAACCTGGACTTTGCACGTTGATTACTTTGGCTGAATCCTGATTCTTTCATTAACCAGGTGAGTAATCTTGAGCAACTCATTGAACCTATCTTCACCTCAGTCTCCCACTCTTTAAAATGGAGATAATGTTCTGCAGAAGTTTTTTGTCTGAGAATAAAACAAGTTAATACATATTAAGCACTTAGAAGAATCCCTGGAATATAATAAGTAGGGTATGCATAGTAACTCTTATAGGATAGATGAAGTAAAATGCAAAATTCCTTTAATTTTTATTGTGTATGTTTAAGATGCACATGTTTGGTTATACATAGATAGAATGAAATGATTACTACAGTGAAGCTACTGAACATATTCATCATCTCACATAGCTATCTTTGCATGTGTGCATGGGGTAAAAGTACCTGGTGTCTATTCGCTCAGCAAATTTGCAGTATACAATACAATATTATTAACCAGAGTCCCATGCCATGCATTAGGCTGCTAGGCTCAGTCATTCCACATAACTGCAACTTTATACCCTTTGAGCTACATCTCTCCATTACCCACTTCCTTAATACCACTGGCTCTGGTAGCCACCAATCTACTCTCTGTTTCTATGAATTATCCTTTTTTTTTTTCAAAGTTTCCACTATAAGAGAAATCACATAGTATTTTTACTTCTGTGTCTGGCTTATTTCACTTTCATATAATGTCCTTATGGTTCATCCATGTTGTTGGAAAAGGCAAGATCCCCTTCTTTTTGAAGGCAGAATAATATTCCAATGCATGTATATTGATGTGTATGTGCGTGTGTGTGTACCACAATTTCTTTATCCGTTTATCTGTCAATGAACATTTTGGTTGATTCCGTATCTTGGCTACTGTGAATAATGCTGCAATGAACATGGGAGCACAGATATCTCTATGAGCTGCTGATCTCACATCCTTTGGATATATACTCAGAAGAGAGATTGCTGAGAACAGAATACAGACTCAGAAATAAATCCAAGCACATGCAGTAAATTAATTTTTAACATGGAACTAAGAAGACACATGGAGAAAGGATGGCTTCTTCAATAATGGTGCTGGGAAAACTGTATATTCACATGTCAAAGAATGAAACTGGACCCTTATCTTAAACATATACAAAAATCCACTCTAAATGAGTTCAAGACCTAAATATAAGACCTGAAACTATAAAATTCCTAGAAGAAAATGTTGCAAAAAACACTGGGCTTGGCAATTATTTTTGAATATCCCACCAAAAACTCAGTTGAGAAAAAAATAAACAAATGGCACTACAACAAAATAAAAAGGTTCTACACAGAAAAGAAAACAATCTACAAAATAAAAAGGCAGCCTACAAATTGGTAAAAACATATTTGTAAACCATGAATCTGATAAGGGGTTAATATCCAAAATATATTAGGAGCTTATACAATTCAATAGCAAAAAACACAATGCAATAAAATATGATTTAAAAATGAGAAATTAACTTGAATAGACATTTCTCCCAAAAAGACATAAAAATGGCCAACAGACATAGGCAAAGCTGCTTAACTTCAGTAATTACCAGGGAAATACAAATTAAAAGCACAATGAGGTATCACTTCACAGCAAGTAGGATGGTTATTACAAAAAGTACAAGAAGGGCCAGGCGCGGTGGTTCAAGTCTGTAATCCCAGCATTTTTGGAGGCTGAGTAGGGTGGATCACCTGAGGTCAGGAGTCTGAGACCAGCCTGGCCAACATGGCGAAACCCCATCTCTACTAAAAACACAAAAAAATTACCCAGGGTGGTGACACATGCCTGTAATTTCAGCTACTTGGGTGGCTGAGGTGGGAGAATCACTTAAACCCAGGACATGAAGGTTCCAGTGAGCTGAGATCGCACCCCTGCACTCCAGATTGGGTGACAGAGTGAGACTCCATCTCAAAAATAAATAAATAAAACAAGAGATAACAAGTGTTGGCAAAGATGTGGAGTAAAGGAAACCTTTGTACACTGTTGGTGGGAAGGTAAACAGGTACAGTCATTATGAAAAACAATATGGAGGTTCTTCAAAAGATTAAACGTAGGACTGCCATATGACTCAGTGATTCCTCTTCTGGGCATATACATATAAATTCTTTAATTTGAAAGTTAAAACATATCAAATAATTTTCTTCACTTAAGAAAGCTGCCTCAGTCACAAATATCCATTCATTATCATTTCTTTTTTGTTTTTGTTTTTTTTTTTTTTTGAGATGGAGTCTTACTTTTTCACTCAGGTTGGAAGGCAATGGCATGATCTTGGCTCACTGCAACCTTCACTTCCTGGGTTCAAGCAATTCTCCTGCCTCAGCCTCCCAAGTAGGTGAGATTATAGTCACCTGCCGCTACCCCAGGGTTCCAACATGTTGGCCAGGCTGGTCTTGAACTCCTGACCTCAAGTGATCCACCTGCCTCAGCCTCCCAAAATGCTGGGATTACAGGCATGAGCCACCGCGCCCAGCTTCATTCTCCTCTTCTACTGAGCTATAGCAGAGAAAAACTCTTAAGAAGTACTTTCTGCTAGCATGCATTTGCTCTTCATGCTAGGCAGACTTCTAAGATGGCTTCCAATGATTCCACTTGCTGGTATTAATGTCCCATTAAATCCACTTCCTGTGAATGTAGGCTGAACGTAGTGACTCACACTTCTAATTAATAAAATATAACAAAAGTGGTGGAATAGCACTTCCAAAATTTGGTTATAAAAATCAGTGACTTTCATCTTGCGCTCTCTCTCTCTCTCTCTCTCTCTCTCTCTCTACTTCTCTCTCACTCTAACTCTCATTTTATCTCTCTGGCCCCTTTTTCCTGCTTGCTCTGATGAATCAATTCATCATGTTTTGAGCTGCCCTATGAATAGGTCTATAAGGAACTTAGGGCTGTTTCTGGCCCACAGCCCTCAAAGAACCGAAACCTCTCAATTCAACAGCCTGCAAGAAGCTGAATCCTGCCAGTAACTACATGATTGAGCTTGAAAGTAGATTCTTCCCTTACGGATTTCCTTTCATGTCTTGAGGTGACTGCAGCCCCAGTTGACACCTTTCTAGCAGACTGTAAGAGACATTGCAACAGAAGACCCAACTGAGCTATGCTCAGATTCCTGACCTACAGGAATTGAGAAAATAAATGTTTAAGCCAGTAAGTTTTGGGGTAATTTGTTATGCAGCAATAGATAACTAATACAGCCTTCTGAAAGTGGAGAATGTTGTGGGAGTAGATGGGGACCATCATGATTCAAGTGGTAAATGAAATTTGGGTGAGCACAGTAGAAGGACCCAAAGAATAGAAGGGAAGAAAGGAGCTTGGAAGATCCCAACTATTTTCCAAGAATCACCCTGCTCAAGCAGTTTTTCCTCATCAGCATGTCTGGAAATAACCCTTAATTAGCTAGTTTGCAATACTCTTACTTTGCACTAGTTGCATTTCCAAGTACTTAAATTGTTCAACCTGCTCCGATACATTTACTCCTACTGTTTTCACCATTAATGAGGCATTCAGCTTTTATAATCTGGGAGATGACCTAAAGATCAAAGTTAATTTAATTTAAAATCAATGTACTAGAAAAGAAAGACCCTGCCTCCAATATTGACATTAGGCTGTGAGCTTTTGCAAACGCAGAAGCAAAGACACATAACAGCATATGCCATGCTATTATTTCCAACCAGGAGAGACTATAGTCATGCAGTCATAAAGGTATGCTGAGAAAAGATTCTGAAAATTGGCCTCCACCCGATTTAATGCTACTCATTGGACAGGCTTTGTTTGATCCAGAGAATTGCAAACCATATCCTGGATTCATTATTGAATTTTAAATCCCACTGAGTAGCTAAGACCAATATCAATGAATCTTACATTCCTGATATTTTAGAGAAAGTCATTCATAACTGAGACAAAGTGCTTAGATTTATGAGCAAAGTATCTTATAAAAGACTTATGTTTTTAACTGAGTTCTGTTGGCAAAGTTACTTCCTCCTGCTGCAAGAAATAAGAAGACTTTGTAATGCAATGTCTGGAGGCATCTATTTCACTTATTATATTTTTAATCCTCAAAGTCTGTTTTCTGACTTGCAATGGGCTGCAATTACATGGCTTCACAGTTAATTATTTTCTATTCATTCACCCATGCGTTTATTTATTCAACAAATTCTTGATATCTCCTCTGTGCCAAGTACCAAGCAACCTCTTGGAGGTTCAAAGAAGTATAAAATAGTACTTCAGTCAAAATAAACCGGTTTTTCTAGTGTAACTAACAATATTAAACTTACCTTCGTGGCTTATCCCAACCAAGGTTTACTTCTTGCTCACACAGTCTGGGAGGTCCATATGATATCTCCGTGGTGGCTTGGGCTTCTAAATTTGCTCAGAAGAAGAACAACGGACTGGGAAGCATGATGCCAGCAATTAAATACTTCTGTCAGAGAGAGACACAGGATCTTTTGTTTGCTTGGCCATATCTGCCTCTAAGCAGAAGTGCATCCCCCCCAATAGTTTCTTTAGGGAAAGAAGCAGACATAGAACACACTATTGTCTGTCATACACAGATTACACCTTCTGCCCCTTCTTATTATATTAGCCTATACAGTCTTGTCATGGGCTTTATATGATTTCTACAAGGCCCTTAAAATATTAAACATATCTTGGTGAGCCCCATTATTGTTTTCATGGACAGTTAAGAGAACGGGGATTATACGTTAGAAATGATCCCCCTGCTTTCTCTAAAGATCCCATGGCCCTTACATCCCTCTCTTGTCCTCTGCCTCTGATAGGAAGGCCTGGTCACCCCTCTACAGAGTGAAGAAACCAACAAAGGAGGACACAACTAAGACCAAGTTAGACTATGAGAATTACTATGAAGTTTTTCCATCATTTATATAATCATTGGGCCATTTAACCAATAGACATTGAGCATCTCTACTCTATGATGTGTGATAGAAATGAGGAATAGACCTGGTTCAAATTGTATAATGAGGAAGATTGTCATGTAAAAGGGTAATCGCAAAGAAGTAAAAGCTATGCTAGAGAGGTGCAGAGAGCACCTGACGGGGGAGACCCTGTGGATGAGGGAAGGTCCCTGGAGAAAATGATGCCCAGGCAAAGGCCTCGTGCTTGCATAGGAATAAGCTAGGCAAAAAGATCTGGGGAAGGAATAATCATTCTAGAAGAAAAACAACGACCCAGAGGAAGGAAAGACAGAGGAAGGGGGCCACCAAGAAAGAGAAGAGAGAGCAGGTAAAGCTCTTGGCATGATGAGGGAGCTGCAAGAAGCCAAAGCATAGATTCCAGGTGGGGGATTGTAAGAGATGAGATAAGAGAGATGAGGAGAAGCCACGTTTCAAAGGACATTGTAAGCCATAAACACAACTTTGGAGTTCTTCCTAAGAGCATAGAGAAGGCGTTGAAGGGTTTCAATCAGGAAGAGAGTGATATGATAGATACTTCAGATTTGAAGTAACAACTGCCCTTTATAAAAGCCTGGTAGTTATTATGCTGGTAAAGTAAACAACCCAATGCCTGTTTATAGCAGTCCTGGTCTTTGGCTGATTTCCCTAGTAGGATGATTTATGAGGAAGTAGATGTAGGATTTGTGTGTTTGGTATGATTAGGAATACCAGGAGAGCCCTTAACACGAAACTATATTTTCTATTCCCTTCCATAAGCACTGAAACCCCAGTCTTTATTCCTTCATTTTTATTTCATTTATCTGGTCAAATATGCATTGAGAACCTGCTATGAAAATGGAATAAACCTTGTGCACTAAAGAAAATGAGATAAGGACAGTGTTCTTGCTTCCAAAAGGCTAAAAGTTCTCGTAGCAGGAATAAGATGAGTTTAAGAGTGTGGTGTGTGGGAGGAGAGCAGAGCAATAGGAACCCAGAGGGAGAAACAAGCCTTTCAGGCTGGGGAGCCCTAGGGAGGCTTTGTGGAGAAAATACCACTACAACTGGGCCTTGAAAGATGAGTAAGATTTTCTCAGTGCTGAGCCTCTGTGTGTTTTTATCAGAAGTCTTTCAGCTATCCACAAGAGAAACTTAACTCAAATGAGCTTAAACAAAGAGGGCAGTTATTGGTTCACACAAAGAGGCACAACTGACTTGAAGCCTAGCTGGATCCAGGGACCCAGTGTTATGATTCAAGCTTGCTCTTTCTCCCTCCATTCCTAGGACAGATTCTCCCTGGTGGACAAAACGATGTGAAAGGAAAATAAATCTTGGGACCCAAAAATCACTAAACCAAAGGGAAAAATCACTAAGCCAAAGGGAAAAATCAAGCTGGGAACTGCAGGGAAAACCTGCCACCCATTCTATTCCTAAATAAGATAGAACAAAGATAAATAAGCCACCTACCTCCTTCACTTACAATTTGCTCACAAGGAAATTCCCTGTGGAAAAGGACAGATAGAACTCAAAGTCATCCCTTTGCTGATATGAGACAAATGCATATCTGAGTACCTGCTTGACCTTATTGTTTCAGTAAGCCAGACTAAGGTGTAAGTGACTATTCCCCTAGATTGTGTACTCAGCAAAATGCTAATCAGAAACTCAAAAGCATGCAACTGTTAGTTTCTTATCCACCCATGACGTGGAACACCCCCCTCTCCATATCAAGTTGTCCCACCTTTCCAGACTGAACCAATGTACCTTTGATTGATGTCTCATGTCTCCCTGAAATGTATAAAACCAAGCAGTGCCCCTACCACTTTGGGCACATGTCGTCAGGACCTCCTGAGGTGGTGTCACAGGAGTGTCCTTAAGCATGACAAAATAAACTTTCTAAATTTATTGAGACTTGTCTCAGATACTTTTTGGTTTACAATGGCTCTCAATAAACCCAGTGTATTAGTTTCTTAGGGCCACTATAACAGATCACCAAGAGCAGAGTATAACAGCTTCAAACAACAGAAATGTATTTTCTCACCATTCAGGAGGCCAGAAGTCAGACGCTGAAGACGAGGCGATGGCTGTTGGTTCCTTCTGGGGGCTCCGAGAAGGAATCCATTGCATGCCTCACTCCTGGCTTTTAGTGTTTGCAACAAGTCCCTGGCATTCATTTGTTTTTAAATGCATCCCTCTAATCCCTCTCTCCACCTTCACATTACCTTTTTTGTGTTTCTCTTATGTGTCTCTCAGGAGATCTAAAATTTCCCTCTCTTTTATGTTTTGAGGATACCAGTCACTGGATTTAGGGCCCACCCTAAGTCTAGGATGATCTTTCTTGAGATCCTCAACTTAATGACCTCTGCGGACTTTATTCCAAACAAGGCCGAATTCTGAGGTTCCAAACGTACTTCAGTTTTCAGGATACTCTTTAACCCACTACACTCAACAAAACCATTCTACTGTCTACAGCAGTGGTACCCAATCTTTTTGGCACCAGGGATCGGTTTCATGGAAGATAATTTTTCCATGGACTGGGGAGAGGGGAGGATGTTTTTGGGAATGATTCAAGTACATTAAAATTATTGTGCACTTTATTTCTATTACTGCATTGTAATGTATAATGGAATAATTATACAATTCACCATAATGTAGAATCAGTGGGAGCCCTAAGCTTATTTTCCTGCAACTAGATGGTCCCATCTGAGGGTGATGGATACAGTGACAGGCATTAGATTATCGTAAGGAGTGCAAAATCTGGATCCCTCACATGCACAGTTCACAAGAGGGCTCACGCTCCTATGAGAATCTAAGGCTATCACTGATCTGACAGGAGGTGGAGCTCCAGCGGTAATGCAAGCAATGGGGAGTGTAAATACAGTTGAAGCTTTGCTCACCGCTCTGCCACTTACCTCCTGTTGTGTGGCTGGTCCCTAAAAGTCCACATACTTGTATCATTCTGTGGCCCAGGGGCTGGGGACCCCTGGTCTATAGCACAAAAATCCCACAACTGTCAGCTCCTCATGGATCAAGTGTCAAAGCTGTGGTGGAGGCTGGGCTGTGGAGTTCAGTCCCATCAAAATTACATTGGTTGAATTCTTAAGAAAAAAGCTATCTGATATCAGAACATAAAGCATACTGCAGAAGCATCAATGATAGGATCTTGGAACAATCACTGCAGAAACCTTCTGGGGGATGTATGTATAGCAAAGCATTTGGAATTATGATGCCTCAGACCAAATAGATTCTAGAGGGACGTTATTCTATTGACTTCCATTTCTTTTTGTAGGTAAGGAGTCAGAAGCACATGGAGAAGGTGATTGAGGGTCCCTGTGCCCGATAGTCAGTGAAAGGCATTCTGATGGAGGACAGGTGCCACCTGACCTGCATATAGGGAGCAGGAGGCACCCAGAGAGCTGGACAAACCAGACAGGAAGAGGAGCAATGCCAGGGACATGAATGGATCTTCAAAACACTTTTCGTATTTATCTCTACAGCTATCCCTGCCTTAGTTTACGTAAGCATTTTACTCCGACAGCTAAAAGTTAGACAATTGTTTTGTGATGGTTAATACTGAGTATCAACTTGATTGAAGGATGCAAAGTATTATTTCTGGGTGTCTCTGTGAAGGTGTTGCTAAAGATTAAAATTCGAGTCAGTGGACTGGGAGAAGCAGACCCACTCTCAATCTGGGTGGGCACCATCTAATCAGCTGTTACTGCAGCCAGAATAAACCAGGCAGAAGAACATGGAAAAACTTGACTTACTGCATGTTCCTGCCTTATCTTTCTCCTGTGCTGGATGCTTCCTGACCTTGAATCTCTGACTCCAAGTTCTTCCTCTTTTGAACTCTTAGACTTACACCAGTGATTTGCCAGGGGCTCTCAGGCCTTTGGCCACAGACTGAAGGCTACTCTCTGTTGGCCTCTCTACTTTTGAAGTTTTGTGACTGGGATTGGCTTCCCTGTTCCTTAGTAATAAACTTCCTTTCATATATACATCTATCCTATTATTTCTGTACTTTAGAGAACCCTGACTAATACAGGTTTTCAGAGGTAGTCCTGTGTGGAGGTCATGTTTGCATCCGTCTTCAGCAGCATTAGAAAAATTAAAATAACATAAAGCTTTTTAAAGCACCAAATTAATTCAAGGTAAAGAGATGTATTTTGTTCCTAATTATATCCTTTCTGCCTTTTTGGTATTCGTTAAGCTATTCTTTTATTTAATCATGGTCACAGTAGAAGGTAATTTAATCTTTTTTCCTCTAGTTTTGTGGCCTATATTTGGCAAACGAAAATGATGATGACTCAATATTGGCTTTCTATACTTTCAAATGGAGAAAATATTTACTGACTCATGACATCCAAAGGTCTGGGATCCCTAATTTGACCAACTGCTATGTCTCATTAGATAGCCCCCAAGGTGAGTAACCACAGTAAGAAATCAAAGAAACTTTCCTAAACAATTATTTTCTTAAGAGAAAAGTGGCTTTGATTCTGAATGGACTTTTACTAGATTTGGTAAGTTTTAAGAAATGTTTTGCTGAGGATGAGATGAAGTTTGTTAATTGCATTATGGGTTGCTAAGGGTCGTGCCACTCTGAAGTGTCGCATGCATGTGGCAACTGCTTAGCACCTGTGGCCTAGGGACCTTATCGCCATTATCCCACATGTTCGAAAATGCAAGACCCACTTGTTAGTCAAAGAAGCTGACCTAGTAATACCTTCTGAGCCACTTGAAAAGCTTTATGACAATTTTTCAAACAGGAAAATTAGCCAGGTATTGTTCAGAATGGTTGACCTGTGAATTTGATTTTTATTTGTTTATCTACACAGCCATGTTTAGCAATGAGCATGCTTAGGCCAAACGTTATGGTTGGTGACATCTGAGCTGCACATCATCCTTCACATTCCAAGCATGTGTGACCTCCTCTCCCCTCATTCTTGTTAGAATAAGTAGAGGCAGGGAGGTCACAGAGAAGCCTTACTTAAAAAAACAGTAAGACATAAAACAATTGTTTCCTTGGACTTAGAAGGGCAAATTCTCTTTGCCTAAGGAGGAAGCAAGGAAATATTCAAGAAAGGCTATTGGCCATTCATCACGTCCCTATGGAGACCTGAGTTTATGTGAGTGATACTATGGGATCTACTTTCTCCACCTCCCCCATACTATTTAGGTTTTGGTCAATTGCAGCAAAATGAAAGGGAGAAGTGTTGAAACTCTAGTAAAGAAAATATATGAGGGTAAACTAGTAGATCAATGCCCTCACCCTCCATGCCTTAGAACAGAGAAGACAGTAAATATCTCCTACATATTTCTCATTCATTGATTGGTTCAGTCATTAATGGGCTGGCCCCGTCATTCATCAATCCATTAAAAATAAAAAAATTTAATAGTGACTGTTATATGCAAATTATTCCTGTCTTAGGACTATGGGATGAAGAGGTAACAAAAATGAACTCAAAAGGAAAATTCTTTTAGAAAACTTGTTTTAGACTGGTGTTAAGGAGATTGTTGGTTTCCTGAGAGCCCTTGGGTATCTTTTTGGCCTCAAAAGAGCTGAGTAGGTTGGAGGCTTCTATTTCAGAAGAGATGAAACAGTCCATCTGGCTGATGAGGGCTGACTTCAGCCTTCATATCTTAAGGGAGAAAAATAAATACATCATTTATGTTTCTTTCCCAAGGCCAGTCAATTCCCCAGGGAAGAAAAGCAGAAAAATATTTAGGGCATAAGTTGGTCTAGAAAGAGTGGGTGTGTTCCCTGGAACCTAAACTCATTGGAAAAGGGAGAAAAAAGGACCAATTACTAGCCACTCTGATTCACCATTAACAGAGTTTATGTTTATTGATATTAATAATTATTATTGATTATTTGATATTAATAAACAATTTAAGCATATTTTTAGTGTCTATTCTTATGACCATCACTGGGCTGAAGCTACAGAAAGTCAAAGCATAGCTCTTACCCTACTAAAAGTTGCTCATTATCTATTCAGGGAGGAAGATTGGTCAAGAAAAAGAAGGCAAAGTCCTGCTTTCAGCTGAGGTTTATAAAACACATGAGATGGTATAAAATCTTTTCATTCTTCTGGTATGAAGAATTGGAGGGCTGGTTCTACCACAATGAAAATTATAACAGCCATGTGCATTTCAGACTACTTGCCAGAGCCTATTCTAACTACTTTGCCTACATTATCTCATTTACAACCATGTGAATTAGGCAATGTTATTATTCTGGATTTGCAGATGAGGAAACTGAGTCACAGCTAAATGATTTGCATGAGGTTATATTGCTAGTAAGTAGTGGAGCTAACATTCAGATTCATGTAGAGTGCACAAAAATTTCTGTGCATAACCAATGTGATATATTTTTCTGCATCTGAGAGATTATGATGTCAGAACCATGGCTTAGCAGGCACCAGACTAGACTGGGTACAGCAAGCACTTCAGGACAGGTTCTATCAGCCATAGATGGTTGTGGGCATCAGATTATCCATGAAATCAGCCATGCTGAGGAAGATGAGCCCTGGACACCAGACAAACAGAGATTTAAAAAAAATGAGTTGAGGAGAAGTGATGTGCCTTTGGAGGGGGCAAATGTAGCCACATTGACAGATCACAGAAGGAACCAGATAGTCCTCTAAGCAGGTGAATGACAACAAAACAAACATATGGGTGACTAGCAAATGGCTGTGCTCCTCAAGTATTTGGCTGAAAACAAAGTAAACTAAATATAAACCATCCTAAATAAACAAGGGGCATGTATTAGATCATGAAACTGAAGTGTCCATGGGTTTGTTAGCTTCAGGAAGAGCACAATCCAGCTGTTCAAATCAAGAATCTGTTTCTTTATCTCTGAGACCTGCCTTTTTTTGTTGGCTTTATTCTCAATCAGTTTTTCTTTATGTAGTAGTGTCTGGTTGCTTAGCAACCACAGTGGAAAAAAAAGTTTCTTTTCTCCAATAGTTTATTATTTAATTAGAGTGCTTCAGGAAAAGGGAAGAGCAAACAAAATTCTAGGATCTGTTTGGTTGGAGAACATAAGCATTAAACTCTGTGCTGCATAAATGAGGATGTATAACACTTGGATCATGCATTCAAAGAGTTAATAGTTAATGGGGTAATGGACACGTTTAAAAATGGAAACAGTGTAGGCGGACACTGTTTTTGTTTGTTTGTTTTTTTTGTCAGGGTCTCTCTCTGTTTCTCAGGCTGGAGTGCAGTAGTGCAATCACAGCTCACTGCAGCCTCTATCTCCTGGGCTAAGCTATCCTCCCACCTCGGCCTCCCAAGTAGCTGAGACTATGGGCATACCACTGCACCTGGATAATTTTTTTAAATTTATTTTTTGTGGAGACAAAATCTCACTATGTTGCTGAGGGCTGGTCTTTAATTCCTGGGCTCAAGCAATTCTCCTGCCTTAGCCTCTCAAAGTGATGGAATGACATTGTGATGTACCTGATAATGAATTTGAGGTTAGAGACAGGGCTTAAAGACATGAATCAGAGAAGGCCTCAGTAGGGAATCAAACATTTCCTTCTAGGGTCAAAAATATACAGCTCTCATCATCACACACAGTAAACAAAATTATGGCTGTGATTTCCATACCAGAGTCTGAGGTAATTGTTTTGTTTTACTTTGTTCACAATAAAACTTGTTGAGAATAGCAGGTTATATCTACATCTGCATATTTGCTCAATGATTCATAGCATCTTCTCACTGATGTGGTGATGAATCTGAAATCCAATAAGAAAGAATGGACAAACAAGATTTACTTCACAAAGGTTAACCTTAAAATCCAACGCTGTCATGTTGCTGTGAATAAAGGAACATTTGCTAAGAATCCCCATCTAAAACCACCAATCAAGCTCACTGGTTCTTTCTGGCTTGCTTTCTTCCTCCCTCATGCACTAAAAAAAAGATTTATCTTTTAACTTAGCTTTAATTCACAATTTCACAATTAATTAAACATCAGCCTAATCATTATACCCACAAAGCATTTAAACTGATATTAGGAGAATGATGGGGAAATGAATAATGCTTTGAAGGTCCATTTCAAATTAGTTATTTGACTAATGAATATTCCACAAGGGCATTTGGGAGATGACCTCTGTTGATGACTTAAAGAAAGACAAGTCTGTTTAGGTAATGAGATGACAAAGTGAGTTTGAGTTATCTCTGGGTGTACGTTGTGTAGAATTACAAGGATTAATCCATACAAAATGTATTACTTTTCCTGTGGCTCGTTGGAGATAACATAGAATTTAAGATCAATAAATAAAGTTTGGCATTTCGAAGATGCTGCTTGATGATAAACTGCAATGTGCACCCCAGACTGCCAGCCATGAGCACAAGCCGCCCACCAGAGGCTTACGAAAGAAAGCTGGGCTTGTTCCTGATAAGGCCTGTGGTGGGGCAGGCTGTTTGCCTCATAAACTCTCCATAATCCCTCCTAGCACCTGACCTTTCGATTTCTTAGATGCAGAGGAAGAAAATTGGCTGTCACCAGCATCCTATATATTCAAACAAATAAGAAACAGCTTACCTTGTTTTGTGGTTTAGAAGGAGCCTTTTCCCAGCAGTTTCATGATCAAAAGCACATATTGCAAGAGGGAATCAAATATAGGTCAAAGACGCTGACTGCAGCACATGATAAGAATAGGACAATGAGGAGGAGGTGGTGTAATCACAACCAGCCTGCCTTCTTTGGCAAGAAGCACTCATGGCAATCTTGCCGTGCTCATCTTGGACAGTTAAGTTACTTTTCATTCTTAATTATGTTAAATCTTAGAACAGTCAAAGCTGACTCAAACATGGAGGTCATCAGGGTCCCAAAAGGATTGGAGGTATTTGAACATGAAGCAAATACTAGAAAAGGTTTGATTTTTATGGTAAGCAACATAGCACTTGTTTTCCTCCTGAGTTTCTCTTTTTTTCTTGAAACTATGGGAGTGACTCTCCAAAGGCAGGGTTTCTGTTAATTCCATAGAGAATAATCCAGAGCCTTCGAATGCTGTATCACTTCCTCATACCAGGTTGAGAACTGGAACTCTTATGGACCCCAGGGGATCCCTGGACACCCAGTACAGAGAGTGCAAAGCAGAGCCTCTGGTTGCAACGCACACAGTAGGTGAGTGGGGCCAGGCTTCAGTGCCCACCTCCCCCCAGTGTATAAAGGATGAGTTAACATCTTCTAAAACTATCTATTAGGCCAGTCTACATGAGTCTCTAAGGAAACTCTAAGGGAAGAAAGACAAATACCCCTTTAGAAACAAGAGACTTTATGACATGGTTTGGACTTTAAGACTCTAGTTTGGGGTAATAGAAAATTATAAGACTAAGTGTTCAGCTTTAGATAAGTCACATAATTTCTCTCCTCTAAAAACGGAGGTTCTTTTACAGCTCAGAATTTCATTTAAATTCAAAACCTCTCCTCTCCTAAGGTTTATTCCTCTATATGGGAGAAAAACAATTCAGGAATGATGGCATTAAAATTGTGTGTAGTTATTGCCATGTGACCATGAGGAAAAAGATCTTTAGCCTTTTGAGTAGTTGGTTGTTTCTTAGAATCTGAGTCCTCAAGTTTTGATTTTCAGATGTACTTTAACATAAATCACCCAACAGGAAGTTATTTGTTACAGCTTGCATTTATCTGCACTCACTTCCAAAAATTATTTGAGACCCAAGTTTCTCTCATCATTTCCAGTATTGCATCATGATTTCAGTGCTTTTGGCATATTATATTTTGGGCTTGAAATATTCTAGCTCATGTATTTCTAAGGTTATTGGCTAGGGAAAATCCTTGCTTTAATTTAGCCTTATAAAGAATCATCTCATGCTGAATATCTCCCAGATAACCTTCCTCCAGGAGATGATTTAAAAGTCAAATGACACGACAAGACTGGCTCTCATTTTCCCTTTTTAAGTCCAGAAAGGCTTTCTTGAAATATTTGGCATCCTACTTTCTGGCAAAGCAGCATCTGGGAATTGCTCAGGATGTCAAGCCCTTCTTGGTTTCTTTTCTCTTGCTCTTTTTGCTCACAAATGGAGACATCCTTGCCCTTGGAATCAATTCAGGCTCGGGGCTGAGGGATTCGAGTAAGTCTAGTACTTCTCTTTGGGCCTCGTTGTGTCTTTCTCAACATGCCTTTAGTTTGGACTTTGAGTCCTGCTCTAATGACTGATTATATATCATTGTCCTTTCACATTTGTGTCTTCCTGAGAGCGAGGGTGTCCTGCTCCTTGAACTGATGACTAATGACTAGAAATCTCACATTATTACCTGAAACTTTCTTGATGGCAGGCACTTGTCTGGCTTTGTGGAAAAAAAAAAATAGATCTTGTCCTGGTTCAGAAGCAGATTAGATCTCTTCAAGGGATGGCAGGTCACCAAGACTCCAGAGATGTGATCACTTCCTCATTTGTAGCTGACTTTACACTTCTAACTGTGGCTGCCCCTGGAATTTATTTCTTGACACTAGTCCAAATCAGAATTGGTGACTGGCTTTAACATCCTAGTTGATTCCATCCTCACCGGCATGCATTACAATTTCAACAAAGGGCAACACTCTCTTATGCAAATAGCATAAGTATTTTCCTTGTTATAAATTGATCAACATGGAAATTCTTTTAGTGTTACTGTTTGTTGATAACCTACACCACCTTTCAGGGTCTGTATTGGGACTGAGATTTAACAACCCAGATATAACTGGACTGTGACAATCTCAAGTTAGGTTCTTATAAACACAGATGTTGTGCTCCCAGATTAGCCATCATCATATCTTGATGCTTCCACTTCTTTCTGAGAAGGACTACTCCTTCTATGCGCAAGCTCACTGTTAGGAATGTCTGGTTTCTTGTTTTAGGGCCTCTCTTCCTGGTCCCAGTCCAACCAGCTACACCCTACTTGTCCTCAGGCAAACAATGCCAAGAAACCTGATGAAACAACAGATTGACATAGGGCAGCTTTGCTAACAGGAAATGCCTATTGCTAAGAAATTTGAATGCCGCCAGTATCATTCCCCTTCCCCACTTATGCTCATTCTACACCATCTTTTCCTTTCATATCTGGTGCTACCTTCTCATTAATATCCCAGTAGGAAAGAGCCTTCATGGAGAAAGGATGCTGAGTGAAGTTGTCCTTGTAAAAACCTCTTCCCCTACTTGCATTTTCATGACTGAAACCTGTGGTTATATTTGCTACCTACCCTTTATTACCAGGGCTTTCATGAAAAAGATGCATTTGAGAAGCAAATGTGATAGGAATCTAAAAAGACAAGAAAATGTACTCAGGACTGAATCTCCAGCAGAGAGAAGGTGTTTGGGAGAGTAGTTGCAATCTTTATTCAGAAATGGACCCAATTCAGAGGGCTTTTAGTGCAGTAAATCATACATTTGATAATCATCAGACATGATTTTTACAGTGAACTACCATTGTGAAGTCCCATTTTAAGACACTAAACTTATTTTCCCCACTAGGTAAAAGTCAAAAATCAGGGCTATTGTGAGTGCAACATACCTTTAAAATTGGTGAATCTTCCCCGCCTCTCCCATGCCCAATCCCTAAGGGAAAAACATTTTTGCACATACAGATAGAATACACATCAAGAATCCTTAAGATTTTGGCATATGGTAAATGTTAAATTTGGCCTGTGGAGTAACACCTCCTAAGGAAAAGAGAAGTGAGGGAGCTTTGCTGCATAGTCTTCAGCGCAAACCTGCAGAAGTCAGGTCCTGGGGTTGTGGGTGATTGTGTGAAGTAATCTGAACTTGTCTCATTTCAGATCTGTTTTTCTTGGACTATCAGAAGTCAGGTACTCATTCGGGTTTGGATGTAAAGAAAGTGAGACAGTCTCTAACACCCCTGGGATCCTTGGCTGTGAGTTTCATGATTTTGGACGCTGCTACTAATCTATTTCTAGCAATTCTTTTTCTTCTTGGACAGGTTCTTAGGATTTGGGTGCACAAATGAAAGTGGAAGTAGGGAGAGGGTGCAATACAGTGATTTATACCTTATGTTTGTGGGTTATCTTCAAGCCATTACTTTTGTTCCTTTTTAAGTAACTGAGATCCTCCTAGAGAAGAAAAAATATAGATAACTTCTTACATTATGGTGCCACTGAAAGGGCTTGTTTAAGCACGTTTCATTGCAAAGCACAGAAACCTTCCTAATTGAAAACACAGAAGGGCTCCTAGGACCCATCTGTAGGAAGTTCAACTATCCTTTATACTGGCTGGCTCTGGGAACATAAAGAGTCAAGATGTTCTTTTTGCAAACTATCTTTCTCACTTGCCCATGGTCCAACAATATTTTAATCTTCCCATATTCCTATGGAGTTAATTCAGTTTTCTCTGCTTAAATTTGGAAGTGTTTTTAGTATCAATGAGCTCTGGCCAGGAGGGATTCTTATATGTCCAAACGCTAGCATGATGCTGAGCACAAAGTGAGTATGCAATATATTTATGTCAAATGAATTAATGAATCAAACAATCTTTAAATAAATTACAGAGATATCCCTGCAAAATCTCTTCACTCAAAATATCGAGAAAGCAATGATCTCAAGGAAAATAAAAATAGACTTAAATAAGGAACAGGCACAAAATTTCACTAATACGAAGACCTCTGACATATTCTGGATGATGCTACAGAGGGAGGCAGAACAGAGAAATAGCTACAGAGGCCAAAAGATGTTGAACGTAACGTTATTACTCAGAGAGGAATATGAGATTGCAAGAAACCCCCAAAAGCAGTCTAACATACTGGCCTTATGTTTTAGTCAGAAGTATGGGGTCTTAAAAGGAGTTACTCAAAAGAGGACTACAAAAGATAACATAAAGCTTGATTAGTGTAGAAACTATTTTTGCAAAGCTAGACTTCCAAACATATTCCAGGGAGATGTTCCCAAATAAAGACTCTCTGGCCAAGTTTAGCCAGATTCCTCTGAGTCCTTTTTTTGACTAGGCCTCGACCTTTAGCAACAATCCTGCCAAGTCATGTTAGCTATAATCTCTCACCTTTGATATCAAATTCCTCACCCACTCCTCTTGATACCTAAGTTCTTGGCCCACCTTTAGCAAGCATCCTCATAGGTCAGTTTAGCAAAACTCCATCCCCTATCCTTGATATCTTGTCTTGGTAATTTTCCACCTATTGACCCCCTCACTCTGGCTATCAATCCTTGGGTGTCTTTGCTGTATTTGGAGTTGAGTTCAATCCCTTTTCTTATTGCAATAGTTTTCACCCCTATTACAATAGTCCTAAACAAAATCTTTCTTACCTTTTTTTTTTAAAGGTTGGAATAACTTTCTTTGACATCCCCTTTCTATTCACTAGCCATTCTGCCTCCCAGGCTGCCTTTTCTGACCTCTTAAAAAAGAGGAACAATGGCTGCTTCTTCCTGTAGCACCTTGTAGAATATTAGACAGAGGTTCTCACACTAGTGAGCTTTTCTGGCTACTCCTCATTCAAGGGAAGCTTTGTTTTCTTTGAGACCATGGCTTGCCTGATGTTTTATGAAACAATATTTTGTGATGATATTTTTCTAATTTAAGATTATTTCACTCATTTATTCATTTACTTGACAAAAATATATTGAGTGTCTGCTATTCTCATCATCATCCTAGAAATTAGGCA